TAATTAGCCATGACTAAGCCCTCCACGTCAGAAGACCATCAGCATCATCAACTGCTACTCTTCAACATTAGCAACCGACTACTCAGCACTGAATGTTTTCTTCGAAGACGCGGAGGAGGTCGTCCGCAGCGAAACGTCCTTCTACAAGCCTGTTGTGGGCGACTTCAGTACGAAAATCGGGATGACACTAAAAAGGAATATAGGTTTGGGAAGTTCAGATATGAGCTCCGGAACGAAAACGGCAACAGTCTCGTTGGGGTTGGGGTTCTCTCCTCCGCACGATTTTTCTTGGAAATTCCATCTTCATGAAAAAAAGAACATCCCCGATGGACATGGGAATCGCCCAACGAAAGACTCACGCGGAGACCACATACTCAGCAACCGAAGGTGGAGCTTGCTCGATATCTCAGTCGTTTCATCCTCCTTCTGCAGTGGTTCCGATCACCGCCCCCTTCGAGCAAAGATACGATTCAGCCGAAGGCTGGAAAAAAGTCTGTCATAGTGCCGCGAGAAAAAATGAAGTCTTTTATGACGGTAACAGGTTGGAAGAGCTCATATCAAGTTGTGAGTGGCCCATCGCGAAGGACCCAATGTAGGACACGACCGGCTTCTGAAAGGAATGCGAGCCTGCGGAGAGTGCGCCTCAGTGACTTCTGAGAAGAACTTAAAACGCATTTCCGAAACCACCAAGAATTGCTTGAGAGAAGAAGATATTTGAGGCAGAATCCAAATGCAACCCATCTCGAGCGACTGATAGCCAACGCCAGTTGCAGAACAGCTTTGCAGGAGAACTCAGCAAGTATAGGCAAGCCAAGATACAGCAGCCGAAGGAAGACGAAGTCTCAAAAGCCGAAGGACCTCTGTGAATATCACACGTACCGCTGGCTGCACTATTGAAGGAAGACAGGGCTGCGACTTCTTCCCGATACAAGATGAAATCTGTCGCGAAGAACTTCTACACCAACCTCTTCCGCTACCGACACCCGTGCCGATGCCAGTTGTTCCCACTGGAGAAGTACCACTACGAATTCTACCTGCTGAATTGCGCATGCCGATTCAGATCATGAAGGCATCCACGGTTCCAAGACCAGAGCATCTTTCCGTCAATTTCTGCGAGCCGGAGGACAACGTCTACACGAGATTCTCGCGTCGCACTTGACATCTTACCTTTGAAGGAGAAGATTCCCGACCAGTGGAGAACGTCAAGAACCGTCCTTCTCTTCAAAAGGTAAACGGGAGGATCTTCGAAACTACCGTCCACTATGCCTGCTGAGTGTGTTGTACAAACTTTTTACGAAGATTATCCTCGCTTGTATATCTAGGACACTGTGTGAAGCCCACCCCCAAGAACAAGCTGGATTTCGCAAAGGATGCTGCATGGACCACATCCAGACGGTTTCGAGGCTCATAGAAGTCTGCCGGGAGTACAGACTGCTTCTCGTCCTAACCTTCGTCGACTACGAAAAAGCCTTTGACAGCGTCGAAACCAACGCCATCTTGTCAGCTCTAGTCGATCAAGGAGTGGTCTCAGCTTACGCGAGGACATGAGCCTCCTCTTTAAGGACTGTGCAACGGCGATGCAGCTAATCCATCGCCCCCTGACCATTCCATTTGGGAAGGGGGTCCGACAAGGCGACGCAATCCCACCGAAGCTGTTCACGGCGGCCTTGCAGTGGGTGATAAATTCACTGGACAGGGACGAGAGAGGCACACGAGTTGACGGGAGATTCCTGTAGAACCTTCGTTTTGCGGACGACATCGTTCTCTTTTCGAACAGTATCGCTGAAGCAGAGGCGATGCTGAAGGTACTAAAAGTAGGGAAGAAGATCGGATTGCGTATAAATCGGAAGAAGATTCAGTTCATGAAGAACGCCCTTTGCGAAGATGCAGAAATGGGACTGGAAAGCACCTCTAGCATGGAGACGTCTTCTTAAAGGCACCGTCCACCCTGTTGAGGGTGTCGAGCTTTTGGCAGCTTATAATAGTAGGGCCCTCTATCAATATGCCCAAGTCGCGGCGCAAAATGCCGCTTCGGAAGCGAGAAAATCTCTTCGGAATAGCGAAGATGCACGAGGACCCCCATCCATGCCCGCCCATTTGTGCGCGCCCATCCAATCACCGTTCTGGAAAGCTGGCCTGTGGGTTGTTCGGAGCGGAGATTGTCTGGGTTTTCGAGCATTCTCGACTTCATATTCGGAATCAGGGACATGAGAAGGCCCTGAAACGGCAAAAACGTGGAAGTCGAAAATCTAGGTGGACGATGCCTTTAAGTGTATCTCGGAAGTCCGATGCATATGGAGAACGTACTTGAGGGAAACTTAGCAGGAGAAGAAGAGCAGCCTAGGCCGCCTTCGGGCCTCTAAAGGAAGCCACCGACCCACTGACGGACCCGGAGCTTCGTGTCCACCCGTTCGACTCAACCGTTCTCCCGGCGCTCTGTTACGCAGCTGAGACTTGACCCGACACTGTAGCCACGTTGAAAGCTTTACGGACCACCCACAGAGCGAGCGCAGCCTTCTGAAGATGACCCGACACAAGCAACATCTAATCGGACTTCACAGTGCGGATATGAGAAGAGTGTCCCGCCTTCGTGACCCAGCGGAATACGTTGCGAAAGCGAAACACCGATGGGCTGGTCATGAGAAAAAAAGACGACAGATGGACACTGAACATCTGAGTGGATTCCTCGCGAAGCCAAACGCCCCGAGAAAGACCACCGACGAGATGGACAGACATGTTCGTGGAACGGATGAACCACCTGAGAAATCAGTATCAGTTGGATGCAATTTTCGCCCCTGGAACTCGTGGACGCAGCCAACGACGACAACCAAGAAGATCTCGGATGTCCGAAGCGAGGGACAGGGATTAATGGAAGCTTCTGTATTGGGACCCGCACGTCACGTAAGGACGGACCATCTACGTATCTAAGTAAGTAAGTATTTCCTTTCTTTGCACAGGTATTTTTGCGAATAAAACCATTTTAGCGTCTTCTCAAACGGTGTCAAAAACGTGCATGAGCACGTGATTAGAAAACATAGCTGAAGTCAAGGAAAGGCTGAGAGGCTGCAATATGCTGCCAGGAGACGAGTGGAAGGCCTCTTTGAGTGGAAAAATTGAAAAGCAACAAATGACAACTCTTTTATACCAGCAAAGAATGTTTGTTTTGTTTGAAAGGATTCGTAGTTGACTCGGATGCTAGGCACAACAGATTGCACTTCATACTAATATGACTTACATCTTGGTTTTGGCAAGGTGATTAATCGCAATGAAGTATTTAAAATTATCGTACGGATAAACAATGAGCGGATTGTGTAAAATAATACGGCGCAGACAATTAAAGCAATAAGTTGCAGCCATTGAGGAGCAGGAGTCCGAAAAAATTCAGATACGATTTTAGCAAATTTAGATGCTCAAAAACCAAAATCTGGGATTTTAAAACTCAAAATTTTGCAACTCACTGAAGGCGGAACGAAACAGCTCAAAACTCTCAGGACAGAAAATAGGGGATGGGTTCGTAGTACAGTAAAATTACAGCGAATAGCTTTTACAGCTCAAAAAAAACTTAGGTGTGACCTGGATACAACCCAATTTTTTTCATTTTTTGTTTGTTATTATATTTTATGTAACTTTTTGTGTCATTATAAGAAAATCCGCAGGTTATAATTAAGACCAGATTTTTCACAAATGTATCTAGAGTATCTCCAAAGTGTAGCTTGATGTATGGGCCCGTGAAGAACATTATGAAAAGATTTACAAAATTTTTACGGTCATCGTTGATAGGGAAATATACGCTTTTGTCGAATGTTTGAGGTTTCAGTAAGACTCCGGAAGCGTGATTCCAGGCCATTGTTGCATACAATATCTTTATTACATATATGCCTTCAACAGTTTTGAGCTTCTGAATGCGTTTTGTTGAAATTTTCAGTCATTACTGGAGTCAATAGATTAAATCTGCGTCACTTTTTAGCGTAGGGAAAAATGCTGTTTTCAAAGTGTAAAGCATGTTTGCCAGTGAAAAGCTTACTTCCTACTTTTTGCAATTTTTCGACCTTCATTCACACTCAACCCTCTCCCTCTCCCGCCGTAATGCCCCAGCATGACCCTCCGTTGCGAAGTCGCATCATAGCTTAACCCTGGCGCCAGCTCAAAGCTTGCAAAATTCAATAAAGATAATCGACAGACATACATGTTCAGCTTCAACGCACAGAATAATATACTTTATACTGTTTAGCTGTTAATAACTCACTTGTCATGAGTCTTTTGAAGAGCTGCAAGTGCCATTTTGTAAAGCTGGCTTTCACTCAAGTTTAAAATTTAGAACGAATTCTCGTTGACCCCGTTACCAGGATTACGGTAGAAACTTTGGGGAGGACTTTGTGTCATCAAGAGTCATATTTTACCAAGAAAGGAGTAAATGATTTGAATACTCTTAAACTAGGTTAAGCTTAGTCGCTAATTTCAAATGTAAAACTCGCACTTCACTATAACTCTTTTCGCGTAAGTTGTGCCAGATGCACCGTAGCAACCATCTAAAGATCGTCAAAATTCTGGTGACGCAATTTGGAAGGCTCTGTCAACGCCAAAAAGTCATATAGCAAAGTCAGCATGCATGAAAACCTTGTTGCATAATTTCTAAGATTTTTTGATTTTGATTATATTTTTATATTATGTTAAATTTTATTTTATTTTACAAGCCTACCTCACAGAAGCGCCATATGCTCCGAGTTCCCACTGTAATCATGCACTAAATAAGGAAGTTCGGTGATACGCCCTATACTGTAAATCTAGGTTGGAGCCAGGTCTGCAAAATGATACCTAAAGCCTCTTGACAGATTTCATGACAAGAGAATTATTAACAATCAAACAGCAGACACAGTTGGGACACCCCGGATAAGATGGTCAACAATCAGCACTACCACCTATACATGTTGCTGGTGTTCAGGTATTTCTCGAGAGCTGTAAAATTCTACAAAGCTTTCAAAAAATATAAATTTACAGACCTTTTTGCCGGTAACAAATTCGCATTCGACGTATTGAGACCACTGCAAATAGCCACCTCCTTCACATACGTCTTTATTTTGTTTTACATACTCGCAAGCAGCTGGAAAGGCAAAGCACGCTTTTATATGTGGCAAATCGAGCATTGCACATTATTTACACATCTGAACTAGGCATGAAAGGCTCTTGCGTTGCGTATGCGCAGGTGCGCAGAAGGTAGTATAGTACATGATTGACACAGATTGTACTTATTGTTAGAAAGAAAGTGTAACTAGTGATCGCGGTCATCCGTGATGGTACAAATATTCATTTCAAATCTATTTTCGCTATCTGCTAAGCGATTGTCTGAAATATGAACGTTTTTCCCATAAGAATTTGCATTGCAGATAGCAAAATTACGAACATCGCTCAAAATTCTTTGCCCCTCGAAACAATATCTGAAAAAGATTAAGCATGAGCAACCTGTCGCAATTGCGTTGACCCTAAAAAAAACTTAGATATCAATGATTTTAAACAAAAATGTGCAAAAATTCTGTGAAAGGAAGCTCATAACTTTTTCAGACAATCATTTAGCGGATAGCGAAATAAGATCTGATTCGTAATCAAGCTTTTAAAACATTTAGTAATGAATTGTGTCTCATTACGAACGGTCACCAAGTATCCTTCCCCTATCAGGTTTGCCTGCACGCAGCCTTTGAAAGGCAGCGTCCATTCAGATTCCTGATTTCAAGTTTTGGTCATGCTCTTTCCTTTTTAAGGCTCTGTTTTTGAATCAACAAAAGTAGCAAAGTTACACGTACCTTCCTCTGTCATGTTCCATACTTGGCAAACTTCAGGGTCTTCTTCAAAATCGGTGGGAATTAACGTTGTGGTCTCTGCAGCATCTCCTCTCAAGAACCATGTTACGAAGATAAACAAGTAGAGCATTTGCAGATTTACTATTCTCTGTAAATTCCGAGATTAGCAATATAGGCCCACTGCACATATTACACTAGGCTATTCGAAAGTTCTGTCCGATTTTTAGTCGCCCTGATTCAACGCACCTATTTTCTTAGAGTTTTGCACTTATCGCAGTATTATAAATAACGTATGAAAAATTTTTTATCCTTTCTGACGCTTATAATTTTCGATGAAGTAGCTTGCCAGTGACGAATTTTCAGGCCCCAAAGTAGCAAAATGCAGTCTTGCTCAAGAAAAATTTCTACGAAGAGGATTTCCACAGTGTCGTAAAATTACCTGTGTAAAATTTTATAACGAGTAAGGGTGTTATGGGCTAACCTGTCCACACTATTCCTTTCACATAGCAAATGTCTTCCTCTTAGAATTCGTTTCCTAAAGATTAAAGACAAACTCAGCCATTTAGCAAGTGACAACAGTTTACGATCAGTGATGTGTATATTTTATATGTTGAAGTAATGTAAGAGTAAGCAGGAACCAGCAGCCAATTAGCTCTTTTTGTCCGTTACAATAACAAATTAATCGATATGCGAACGCGGAGGAGGGCTCAAATAATAGCTTTTTTAGTTCGCTTATAAAAATTTCTATGCAGCAAAAAGAACTCAGATTCTCTTCAGCCATGAGATATTCTCTAAAGTATACGCCTACTTAATGACGGTAGCCAGATGTATGTGGGAACCCTTAAATGGGAGCACTAGTATGTCAAAATAGGCGGTCTTAAGGGAAACTTTGCAAAATTCTCTAAATTTTCCTTTCTATCTCACTTGACTTTTCGCCTTAATTCCGTTTAATGTGGCAAAATACAATTCGTACAAGAATGTTGACTTCGAAAAGAGTTATAACATTTTGAATTAGAAAATCTGCAAATCGGAAAGAACTTCCGGAACAACCTAGTACATGCGTGAGGTCGACATGACAATGAAAATGTAGATAAGAACTTGTAGCAGCTTTACCGGCAAAAAAAATTTGTTTGACAAGCAACCATAACGTTTAATCAAAGGCCGGATCTGACTTCAGAAAGTAAGAGCCGTTTAAGCGTAAGGAATGGAAGATAAGACATAAACTTTTTTAAAAGCTAGCGCTACTGGACGTATCTTGAAGCTCCGGGTATGCATAGAAAAATTTACTTACTAAGAACTTAGATGGCCCGTCCTCACGTGACGTGCGGACCCCAGTACAGAAGTTTTCACTGATTCCTGTTCCTCGCTTGGGACATCCACGATCCTCTTGGTCGTCGTCGGTGGCTGCGTCCACGAGTTCCAGGGGCGAAAATTGCATCCAACTGATACTGATTTCTCAGGTGGTTCATCCGTTCCACGAACATGTCTGTCCATCTCGTCGGTGGTCTTTCTCGGGGCGTTTGGCTTCGCGAGGAATCCACTCAGATGTTCAGTGTCCATCTGTCGTCTTTTTTTCTCATGACCAGCCCATCGGTGTTTCGCTTTCGCAACGTATTCCGCTGGGTCACGAAGGCGGGACACTCTTCTCATATCCGCACTGTGAAGTCCGATTAGATGTTGCTTGTGTCGGGTCATCTTCAGAAGGCTGCGCTCGCTCTGTGGGTGGTCCGTAAAGCTTTCAACGTGGCTACAGTGTCGGGTCAAGTCTCAGCTGCGTAACAGAGCGCCGGGAGAACGGTTGAGTCGAACGGGTGGACACGAAGCTCCGGGTCCGTCAGTGGGTCGGTGGCTTCCTTTAGAGGCCCGAAGGCGGCCTAGGCTGCTCTTCTTCTCCTGCTAAGTTTCCCTCAAGTACGTTCTCCATATGCATCGGACTTCCGAGATACACTTAAAGGCATCGTCCACCTAGATTTTCGACTTCCACGTTTTTGCCGTTTCAGGGCCTTCTCATGTCCCTGATTCCGAATATGAAGTCGAGAATGCTCGAAAACCCAGACAATCTCCGCTCCGAACAACCCACAGGCCAGCTTTCCAGAACGGTGATTGGATGGGCGCGCACAAATGGGCGGGCATGGATGGGGGTCCTCGTGCATCTTCGCTATTCCGAAGAGATTTTCTCGCTTCCGAAGCGGCATTTTGCGCCGCGACTTGGGCATATTGATAGAGGGCCCTACTATTATAAGCTGCCAAAAGCTCGACACCCTCAACAGGGTGGACGGTGCCTTTAAGAAGACGTCTCCATGCTAGAGGTGCTTTCCAGTCCCATTTCTGCATCTTCGCAAAGGGCGTTCTTCATGAACTGAATCTTCTTCCGATTTATACGCAATCCGATCTTCTTCCCTACTTTTAGTACCTTCAGCATCGCCTCTGCTTCAGCGATACTGTTCGAAAAGAGAACGATGTCGTCCGCAAAACGAAGGTTCTACAGGAATCTCCCGTCAACTCGTGTGCCTCTCTCGTCCCTGTCCAGTGAATTTATCACCCACTGCAAGGCCGCCGTGAACAGCTTCGGTGGGATTGCGTCGCCTTGTCGGACCCCCTTCCCAAATGGAATGGTCAGGGGGCGATGGATTAGCTGCATCGCCGTTGCACAGTCCTTAAAGAGGAGGCTCATGTCCTCGCGTAAGCTGAGACCACTCCTTGATCGACTAGAGCTGACAAGATGGCGTTGGTTTCGACGCTGTCAAAGGCTTTTTCGTAGTCGACGAAGGTTAGGACGAGAAGCAGTCTGTACTCCCGGCAGACTTCTATGAGCCTCGAAACCGTCTGGATGTGGTCCATGCAGCATCCTTTGCGAAATCCAGCTTGTTCTTGGGGGTGGGCTTCACACAGTGTCCTAGATATACAAGCGAGGATAATCTTCGTAAAAAGTTTGTACAACACACTCAGCAGGCATAGTGGACGGTAGTTTCGAAGATCCTCCCGTTTACCTTTTGAAGAGAAGGACGGTTCTTGACGTTCTCCACTGGTCGGGAATCTTCTCCTTCAAAGGTAAGATGTCAAGTGCGACGCGAGAATCTCGTGTAGACGTTGTCCTCCGGCTCGCAGAAATTTGACGGAAAGATGGTCTGGTCCTGGAGCCGTGGATGTCTTCATGGTCTGAATCGCCGTGCGCACTTCAGCAGGTAGAATTCGTGGCGGTACTTCTCCAGTGGGAATAACGGGCATCGGCACAGGTGCTGATGAGCGGAAAAGGTTGGTGCAGAAGTTCTTCGCGATAGATTCCATCTTGTATCGGAAAGAAGTCGGAGTCCCGTCTTCGTTCAATAGTACCGCCAGCGGTACGTGATCTTCACAGAGGTCCCTTAGGCATTTCTTGAGACTTCGTCTTCCTTCAGCTGCTTCCAGTATCTTGTGCCTGTACTTCCTGAGATCCTCCTGCAAAGCTGTTCTGCAACTGGCGTTGGTTATTAGTCGCTCGAGATGGGTTGCATTCGGATCCTGCCTCAGAAATCTTCTTCTTTCGAAGAATTCCTTGGTGGTCTTCGAAATACGTTCCAAGTTCTTTTCGGAAACACTGAGGCGCACTCTCCGCAGGCTCGCAATCCTTTCAGAAGCCGGTCGTAGTCGTACGTTGGGTCCTCCTGGATGGGCCAGTCACATCTTGATATGAGCTCTTCCAGCCTGTTACCGTCATAAACGACTTCCTTCCTTCTCGCGGCACTGTGACAGACTTTCTCTTCCAGCCTTCGGCTGAGTCGTGTCTTCGCTCGAAGGAGGCGGTGATCGGAGCTACTGCAAAAGGATGGAACTACTGAGAAATCGAGCAAGCTCCATCTTCGGTTGGTTGAATGTGTCGACCGCATGAGTCGTTCCGTTGGGCGATTCCCATGTCCACCGGCGATGTTCTTTCTTTATGAAGATGGAATTTCCATGGAAATGTCGTGCGGCGGAGAAAAGCCAAACGAGACGGTTGCCGTTTTCGTTTCAGAGCCCATATCCAAACTTCCCGATCCTATACTCCTTTTCTAGTGGCATCCCGATTTTCGCATTGAAGTCGCCCACAACAGACTTGTAGAAGGACGTTTCGCTGCGGAAGACCTCCTCCGCGTCTTCGAAGAAAACATCTAGTGCTGAGTAGTCGGCTGCTAATGTTGGAGAGTAGCAGTTGATGATGCTGATGGTCTTCTGACGTGGAGGGCGTAGTCGTAGGATGGCTAGTCGAGGTGATAGGATTTCGTGCGAATCGACACGATGGACGATAGATGGGTGGACGACAAAGCCAACGCCTCCCACGTTTCGTGATGGAACCTTCTCACCACGAATGATGAGCGTCCCATCATTCATCTGTCGCATGTGCTTCTTCCTGGACTTCGTTTCCTGCAGAGCGATGATGTGGTACTTGATGTGCTCTGCAGCGTCGAGAAGAGCGTGGAGGTCGGCGTTTGTGGAGACTGTCCTGGCACTGTAGGTGCAAAGCATCGGGCAGTCTCCGTGGCGTGTCGCCGGGCAGACGTGTCGTTTTTGTCCAATCCAAAAGGCGCCCTGAGGACCCTGACATCAGTCTTGCTACCGCCCGGCGCCGTAGGCGGGATCCAATGTGCAGGGTTTCTTTCTATTCTTCTGATAGAGTAATGAAATTTTTCCCCTACAAGAGCAGACTTACTAGGCCAACTCCTGATTTCCACAGGGTGATCGCTGACCCCGGGCATGAAGCGGGGAGAACCGCCCAGCGACCTGAAAACCAGACGGCGGTGGATCTGGCCTGGCCGGCTCTTAGCTAGGCATCCGGCCGAAACCGGAAACATCGAACTCCTTCACAGCTTGGGGAGGCCCTGCCAGAGTATACACTCGGCTGTGCATCAGTTCAACACCCAGTGTCACTCCCACGCCACGATGAGGCGGCCGACCATTGTGTGGGGGATAGAAAAATTTAGAAAAAACATAACTCGGATGTTGTCTTATTTTGGCCTGATAGAAAGTATACATTCAAAAAAAAATTACTCAAATTCTAGATTTTTTCGCTGTAAGTCCACCGTTAATCTGTGTATCCAACTTACACCAAGATTTTTCTCTCAATGTGAATTGAGTTGAAGCTCCAAATTACGTTCAAACCAGACACCTCAGCATCAATGTTAGCAGTCTGCATCACCGGCACCTTGGCATATTGCTTGTAGGCGTTGTATTTTGCTTCAGCAACTTTCGTTATACAGTTGTAGCAATGGATTTCGGCCAAAATCGCGGGATTTGCGTGATTTGCCGGATATGCGGGATTTAGTTACAACTTCTTCTAAAACAACTTTATTTGGAATCTGCAAGAAGATTTGGTTCCAACTTGATGGGACGAATCTTTTAGTATGCATTATGCCCGTAGACCGTGGTGATACGCTAAATATATGATACTACTTTGCTATTTTCGGAATTTGTTCATATGAGCAACATTACATGTTGATAATCCCATAACACATGCCAGTAGAATACATGCACCATGGAAAACGGGCATTATCTATACTAAAAGATTTGTCTCATCAAGCTGAAACCAAATCTTTTTGCAGATTAAATAAAGTCCTTTTGCAAGAAGTGGTACAGTCTGCCCCAATTGGAATCAGGCCGAACCCTCGGCGTGGATTTGCGCGCTCGCAACGCTAGGCGTTTGCGCTGCATATGCGCGCTGTCGGAGAGAGCGCGGCGATTGAGGAGGGAGCAGACGAGCAGGCCGTGGCCGTGACCGCGAGACCATAGCGACGCGGACTCCCGCCATGCCAATTTTGGCCTGCTTGAGATTGGGGCAGACTGTAACTAAATCTCGCAAATTCTGTCATCCCGCAATTTTGGCCGGATTCCACCGCTACAAGTGTACAAATTGTGCTTTGCAGCCGTTACTTCACTGGTGATGTTATTAGCAAGACGCTTTGTGCTCAAAGTACATGACCAAAAAATCACAAAGTTTTAGTACTTTGCCATCGTTGAGTAGTTAAATACATCGTTGGATAGTTAAAGAGTCTTCATATTGTTGCCAGAAACTGATAAACATTCGGGGTGTCCCAAAAAATGTGCACATTGTTTGATTGTCGAACTACCTTGCAGAGCTAGGCAGAGATGGCTTCTCGAGAATGCAAAAAACAAAGCCTCTCCTGGCTTTCGCAAAATTTTACGAAGTCCCCTTTCTTTTGTCGGAAAACCCGAAATGACTAAATAACGAAACGTCGACAAAAAACCTAATTTTGGATCCACAAAAACGGCATCCCCTTTGCTTTTTGTCGTAAAGCGATATCCAGCTTGATTATAAGCCACCTGTGCCGAGCTCTGCTTCCTTGCCCGGATGTGTATCGCCGATCTTGAATTTCTGCAAAGCATGCTTCAAAAATATGTCGATCTTCGTTACTGTAGGACTACTATGGGATGCTAGCATACAGCGCCATCCTGGAAGAGTAAAAGATGAAAAATTTTAAAGAATTTGAGTAGCAGGAATACGCAAGCCAATCTCATCACATAGCTTTCAACAGGTTCTCTGAGCTTTTTCAGTGGTGTAACAAATTTTTTTGAAGACTATTGGAGTTGTTACGGCACCTAGAATAACCTATGGAAGAAGCAGCTGTGATTTGAAAACTTCATAGTTGAAATCAGTGATTTTGATATGCCTGACATGAGCATCTCTTGTTTTGTAGCGGCTCGGTGTGCCCTAAGCACCTAGATTTTACCCGAGACCTGGCGAGCTCGCCCGCTTATTGCCCTAATTTCACGCGTATAAGGCGCGGGGGATTTTTTCCAAAATCGACCAGCCCAGACAAGCCAAAGGATTTTACAACCAAGAACCCTATAACATGCTGTATATTGCTTGAGAGAGTCGTGCGATATAAGGATTAATTTCCGGAATACAGTGAAGCGGCTGAGCGGCTCGCTTGAAAATTCGAAAAAGTGCGCCTTATACGCGTGGATTTAGGGTACATGCGACGCAACCTTGCCCACTGCTATACCCTAGCGCAAGAAGAAACGATAGGAAATTACTTATAGTTTATCCTGATGACATAAAATAACAAGAAACCTACGATACAAAACTGCTACAACTAAACTACTAACTAAAAGAAAAACTCCTAACAGGATGCTCCATCCCGCGCTACTAATGTTGCGCGTCTATAAAACTCTAATGAAAACAACGCTCCCAAGGCTTCACCAATACTGATCCGCCACGCGTCGCCGAATAACAAGCGCGACAGCCTCTTTGCTCCCAAGGTTTACTTTTAATATTCTAAATTCCAACTCCAAAAGTAACTCGTCCGAAACAATTTATATCCAACTTGAATTTCAATCCAGTACAACTTCCAATCTCGACCGCTACTGCAAAAGTGATATCAAAGGCGGGAGCTTAACTGCCAAGCACGGCACAATGAAAAAATGAGAAAAGCTTATCGATTGAAAACGAACGAGACAGGAAAGCAGACACGCGCTGAAATGAAACGCCGCCGCTATATATAGCCTTTTGGCTGGCAACGCGCCAAGGCAAGGAGAGGTCCAGAGGCGATTGCGGCAAGCATGAGAAAGTACCGTAATCGTCGCTAGATAGCGCGGCAGCAACCAGTGCTCCGGCCTCCTACTTCTAGGAGCGCTCGCATGGCGGAGCCGCGACATGTTTGTTTATTTTCTTTCTGAAAAATGAGCTCTTAATGGGTGTAATTTCCTTCAAAAATTCTACCGCAGTTCTGTAGTAATGAAGAGAGACAAGGCTCGCTTCAACTACAGACTAAGCTTAAGCCAGCTATATAGAGTGTTAAATAAAGGTTGGAATAAGTTTCTACAAGCATCTGAACAGTTGCAAGAAGTTTGATGCACTTGAAATTTGGAAATAAGATTCAGGAAATTTTGAATACGCAATGATCAAATCACCGCTTAACGCGATCCTGCAACCTTCCAACCTTGTCAATATCCATCCACACCAGACGTTCATATGCAAAGTTCTATAGCTAAAGATTGAAAAACTAAAACACGTCAGAAACCAGGAGCGCTTTTTTGGTTACACTAATTGACATATCTTGTAAAATACAGCTTGGGAAGGCTTCAGGTTCATAGCTGTTCTTGCAAAGTATCGTTCTAGCAAGAGCGCGCCAATTTTTGTTCTCTTAATCATTGGAAATTTCAAAATACACCAACTACACATATGAACTTATGTGAAAGCATATGGGCTACCGTGTTGGAGGTTTGTATGATATTTTTGGATCAAACTCTGATACTTGGGAGTTCAAATTTTGCTTCCAACTTACATTATTACTTTTTGCGTTATCTACAGATATCTCGTAAGAATCAACTATTGCTCATGACATGTTTCCTACATTTATATCGACCCCGCCATGTTAGCATAAGGATGTGCTTAGATTGTTAAATAGCCTAATATTTGAACTTGGAAAATTCAGGTAATCTCATTTGTGTGCTTATAATTCATATAAAAGGAAAAATCATAGATGTCATTAACTCTTCTAACCCCAAATCGTCAACAAGCCCTGATTACCAAATAATTGAATCAAACTTTGCGTTAACACTGCCTACTCACTCCTCTTCATGTCATGACCAGCGTTAACTGGAGAGTGTGGTGCTAGCCTCAAATCCCTCGAAAAGGCGAAGAGTCCATAAACGCAGCGCAAATTAAAAAATAATCTAAGTTTATGGTACTTTTGCCGTATAAGTACCATATATTCTTTGTAATTGAAATTACGTTCTTCTATCATAGTCTTAGTGAACGTTTTCTAAAAAAGCACTCATCTACCTTAATTCAATCATCCATAGTATTTTACCGCACTGAATACTTGTGGACGGAGCCACCCACCCATTATGAGAAAAATTTGATAATCAACTAGCTGGCATACCCGGCTCCGCCCTGCACCACGTACAGTGACCGCCAAAAAGTTGCGGACAAGCCTCCCTCCCTTTTTCATCGCTCTTTTTCAGAGAGAAAACAGGGATGAAAAAATGTAATAATTGCATGAGGTAATAGAGCTCTTCAAGATCTGCAGTCTACACTTTAAGTTTTTTGAGAGACATGTGTTCTAAAAATTTTAAGAACCTTTTTCTAAAAAAAGTCCGAAAATGGCCGCGTCACAATGAAGACACAAGACGCGGACAGTAATTCTTCGAACGCAAAAATTTTCCTTTGAGTTCTATTAAGCGGAAACACAAGTTATCCGGACAGGTAAGCATACTAGTATACAAAGCTCGTCAAGAACTACACACTGGTTATGGTTGCTTCCCCAGAAAACGCAAGTTTGAGTTCTCTTTTGGTTTTTTCAAAAAACAACTTCTAATTTCCTTCATCAAGCCAAATTTCTTCACACGGAAACCTGTTCAAGACATCCCAACAAAGCCGTCTGGATAAAATAGATGCTCTTTGAAGTCTTCTATGCATCGGACGTGTGCTGGTAAGTTTCTTGGCTGAAAATGGCCCTTGGCAGTGCTTGCACATGACCCCACCTGCACCTCACCATTGACTTGTACCGCTTTGCAGGCTTGTAACTCGGCCTGCAGTCAATATTTGAGCCTGCAATTAGGCTCATTCGAAAGAATGGGACTTTCTCTATACGATGATATGCAAATGAGTTGAGTTTGAAAAATGTCAGAGATTTGACGGATGGGCTGGTAGAGGGCAGCTTCAGCTGTACTCTAAGCACTTTTCAGCTAAAGTTTAAAGAGCTCCTTTCGCTACCAATTTCATCCTGGAAGTTCAAAACTGTCAATTTTCTTGTAATAGATCCATTTCGAAGCTCTAACACTGTTCTGGTGTTCATAAGAGCTTTCACTCCAATCACCTCTAAGGCTGCACTTTTTCACCCCATCTGTCAAATCTCTGAAATTTCTTAAACTCAAATCTTTTGCATACCATCGTGTAGACGAAGCCTCGTCCTTTCGAATCAGCCTAATTACAGGCTCACACATTGACTACAAGCCGAGTTACAAGCCTGCAAAGCGGTGCAAGTCAGTGGTGAGGTGCAGGTGGGGTCATGTGCAAGCACTGCCAAGAGCCATTTTCAGCAAAGAAACTCATCAGCACACATCCGATGCATAGAGGATGGCAAAAAGCATTTATTTTATCCAGACGGCTTTGTTAAGATGTCTTGAACAGGTTTCCGGGTGAAGAAATTTGGCTTGATGAAGGAAATTAGA